TTTTTGTTTTTTTTTTACGTAGACTACGTCTTACGGGAAGGTACTGGGGGTAAATCGAAAATCTAAAATTGCGACCGTCACGAAAAGGTGTTATTTTTTGAACGCTATAAGCTTTGTCATTTTTAGATGAAATTAAAATCCGAACACACCAATCGATAGGAAATACCTTTCGTAAGCTGTTCCAAAAATCTTTTTTTTTTCAATTTTTCATAAAAATCTGTTTTAAAAATGGACAAATAAAAAGTGATAATTTTATCACTGTTTTCATGAAATAATCGTTCTCCCCAAACCCAGTCCTCATAATCAAGTACAATTTGGTTGAACATCGTGCTGCTTGAATCAGAAAAGTTATAAAACAGCGCTGCTAATGTGCCTCAACTCATTTTCGTTTCGGACGGCGGGTAGGCAGGTAGCAGCAGTAGGAAGGCGGTTCCTGTCAAGCTCGCAGAGTTCGAGTTTTGCACCTCGAACTGTGCGCGTCATTCCCGTCGAGATCATTGGCTGCTGGCAGTGACATCGCCTCGATGGTGCAAGCGCTCCTTGCCTGAATGATAACTACAAATCTCGATTACTTTTCGGAAGGACATATAAGCTTTTGTAAACAACGCATTTTATCGTCGGATTGGCATAACTAATAGCTCGCCCCACATACTAACACCGCTAACAGTTTAGGAAAATGTTCCCTTATCTGATGGTAGTACTAGAATGCGTGGGCGAGCTACCAGTTGCGCCAAATCGACAATCAAATGCGTTTCTGATACCACAAACGAAGTGACAGACGACTAACTGGCGAAGAAATCAATTAAAATAATGTGGTTCGCTGTAATAGAATTTTCTTAGAAGCTTGTGCCATCATCCACCAGATGGGATAGTATTTTTGTTTTGGTTTTGCACAAAGTTGATTTTGTGTACAATGATTCTTTGACAGTGTGCAAAGAGTGTATCATTTTGTCATTTTTTTATGCATTTATGTTTTGAGTAGAGTGAAAGAGATAGAACCAAAACATTCTAGTACATTTGGTGAAAATGCTAGTTCAATCCAGTAGTAGTGTTGCCACGTGGTACAATCCAGTAGTAGTGGTGTTACCATGTGGTACACTGAAAAATTGCAATAGCAGGTTAGTCACCAAAGTTTTCGAGCCGCTCCGTCTGTCACTTCGTTTGTGCTGATACGTTCCTTCGAAAAAGTAATCGAGAAATACTTCTTGGGCTGTGTACCAATTGCCGAGTTAAATTTAACTCGTGGTTAAACATGACATTTCGTAAGTTATTTTCAATGTTCGAAAATGCCGGAAATTGATCAGTTTTCAAACAGAACTCAGCCACGGGTACCAAAATTTAACTTCTAGTCAGTCAGAAATAACCACGCTCGTATAGCAGGGTTATTCGATAACTCATCTGTCACTTTTAACCACGAGTTAAATTCAACTCACCCATTACGACACAGCCTTGGAAGTAAAATTAGTTGCCTCTTCATAAATTCAGGCTCTTTAGGTTGGACCTTCATGCGAAATTTCGGTATTGGTAGTCAATATTTCACGATCAGAACATTTAAGCTTGAAATCCCTCCATTTAATTCTCGGTACATCTTTAATCTATTGATGGAATTAAAAAAATCTTAATATGAATCCTGATGAATGTGGGCGTCTTAGTGGAATACCTGTATAATGAGATTATATCTTATCCCCAACCCGACTTGAGATACATTATATCTTAATATGGTTTTTTAAGATTTCGTGCGTTTTGTGAACGCACATTCATTATTTTGCATAAGAACACGGGTGTTTCTGTGGTGATAAAAAGGATAAATTATCAGACGGTACCTCTATTTATGTATGAATATATATTCGCATTTTTATGAGGTCCTGAATTTAACTAAGTAGGAAATCCAAAATATGTACATAGGACCGAAATCATAGGTTACTTCTACTGTATTTTAAATCAATATCTAGAAAAAATGCACGAGAATTTCACTACACAGCTTAACGTAGTCTACGTCAACCCTGCGGTCGTGTCTTGTACACAACCCCACCATTGTTGGTATTATTCTTTGGTATTTTTCCTCTTATGTCATGCTGGTCAATACCAAATTTTGGTACCAGATCAGAATTAGGTATTCATTAGTTATTTTCTCCTGCTCGGGTAATGGTGATTACTGTCAGAAGTACGGACCAGCAAATTGAACATTAAACGCAATTCTAGGAAATACTAGAATTTGTTATTTGGAAAGCTGCATTAACAATCTTTTTCTTACGTAAGATTTGTATGAACCCCCCCTCCCCCCATCATAAGAGATCGTAAGAAATTTGAAGACCCCCCCTCCCCCCCTATATGCTTACGTAATTATTGAATGGTCCCTTAACCCCTTATTTTATCTGTCAAACTTTCATAGCGAATCAAAACAAACATTGCGTAGTACTAGAATTTTGACTAAAATGGGCTACGTTAATTGAATTGCTTGGGACCAATAGGCTTGTCAAGTAGTGTGCCAATTTAAAACCGTTAGTTTCCACCGGTTGCCCCTACCTTCATGGTGCTGTGCTTGTATGAGGCTCGGCTCTCTGCTGAACACACGATGATGGATTAGCGGTGTAAATGTGGCCACGCATCGATAATGCGCAAATTGGTTTGCGAATTGCCAATTAACCGATGGAAGCCCCTTGTGCCGGTAGTAACGTGCAAGCATGGAAAATCATTTACAACCATTTCGTGCATTCATTTACATTTGCCTCTATCTTTTTTCAACAAAAAAATTCCGTAAAATGATATACTAAGTTTTTGTAGGTTCCATGATAAGCTACAACTTTTGTCAATATTTTAAATCTGTATCTCTTATGGGTGATGGACCAGAGTAAACAGAACCCACCATTGTTTTTCAATGAATGTCAATTACATAAAGTTCTGCTTACACTAGTTCGTCACACATAAGCGATAAGTTGTAGTTAATCATAAAACCTACAAAAGCTTAATATATAATTTTACGGAATTCAGGTAATGAAAAAAATTAGAGACAAATGAATGTAAATGAATACCCGAAATGAATGTAAATGTAAGGGGCCACCTACCTTAAAATGTATGTATAGGCTCCATTGATGCACCATCAATGTAGAGTGCACTAGTCGATTTTGAGAGGATTTTTTTTTTTCCTTTGGTTTGTTTTTTCCGTCGATCTTGTTTTCCGTGCTGAGCACCAATGCTACCGACGTGCCAGGAAGGCAGCTCCCACACCTGGACCCTACCTATCGACCCATCAACTCATGAACCGGGGACCAACGGCTTGGCGTGATCAGAGATGTTATGCCTCAGAACATCCCAACGGAAATTGGCAAGATTTTGAATGAAAAATGCTGTTATTTGCGTTGGGGAAAATACGTTTCTTCTCGAACTCGCGTGGCACACTCTACGTTGGTGGTGCATTAAAAAGGCGTATAGCAGTTTAGTCGTTTGTGCTTATCACTCTTTTGAGAGTTTTCCTATTAACCGCCAGAGGCTGAAACGATCGCTTAGTTTCTTTTGGATTCGCCTATTGGCGATTTAACCACAAACGAAGTGACAGACGGAGCGGCTCGAAAACTTTGGTGACTAACCTGCTATTTAAATTTTTCAGTGTACCACATGGCAACACCACTACTACTGGATTGTACTAGCATTTTAACCAAATGTATTAGAATGTTTTGGTTCTATCTCTTTCACTCTACTCAAAACTGAAATGCATAAAAAAATTACAAAATGATACGCACTCTTTGCACACTGTCAAAGAATCATTGTACACAAAATCAATTTTGTACAAATCAAAACAAAAAAACTAACCCATCTGGTGGATGATGGCACAAGCTTCCAAGAAAATTCTATTACAGTGAACCACATTATTTTAATGGATTTCTTCGCCAGTTAGTCGTCTGTCACTTCGTTTGTGATTTAACGATAGCGCTCGTGGCGAATATGAGAAATAGAAAAATGATGATGGTCTCAAAATTTTGCACGTTGAGGTATAGGCCTTTTTAATAAAAACTAAGTGATCGATTCAACCTCTGGTGATGAATAGGAGAACGTCAAAAAGAGTGTTGTGAGCAGAAATTTTTGCCGTGAGACATAGGAAGTGGAACACTTTTTCACTTTTCCTGATAAATTGTATCATCTGAGATGCTTCAAAACTTAATCTACAGTTGAAAAAGTTAATTCAGTATCGTTTTTGCAAAGAACCTGCTGGTGTTGAGGAATATTTTTGTTGAGAAAAATTGAAAATTAGAAAAGTGCCTTAGTGGTTATAATCTTCCGGATTTTTTGTGTGTGAATAGTTAAGGTACAAATCAGTTCATATCTGTGGAAAATCGTACAATAAGACAATAGCTAATGGAAATTGGCAAGATTTTCAATGAAAAATGCTTTAATTTGCGTTGTGAAAAATAGTTATTCTGATGTAAACAAACGGTTTGGTTGATGTTTCTTCTCGAACTCGCGTGGCGCACTCTACGTTGGTGGTGCATTAAAAAGGCGTATAGATAGTGGCATTTCCTTCTTTACCGGGAACTCGGGTTGATCCCGGCCCTCTATTTCGGTACGAAAAAGTTTCCGGCCAATAAGACTACTACGAATCGATTCAGCAGAGTTTTTCCTTTGAGAATATAACATGGTGACTGGAACCATTTTATTCAATTTAGTCGCGGTTTTGTAAATTTTTGCTCAGTGTGCACCGTGCGGTTAAGCACGCTTAACCTAGCTTCTTTTCGTGTGCATTGCGCTAAGTGGGGGTTCGCGAGCCCCAGGTTGAGAATCGATGAAGTAGAGAGAATGTTTCTTCCGAGGTTTCTTCTACCAGCTGGTGCGGTTATTTTCCAGGACTGAGCTTTTATTCACGAGAAATCGGTGATTGAATTTATTGTTTACAAAAACAGTTTTGCCCTAATAATATATATCATCGATATACCATAATTTTTTACAAGTAGGTGGATTAAAATACTTTTCAGCATGATTTTTCGAGAATTTAAATTAAACGCACGTTTTATAAAATCTCTGGTTATTTATTATTTCTTACGTTTAACCAATCTTTCATAACATATGACTTTATGACTGTTTGCCGGATTGAAAAAAGCCATTTGGTCTTAACAAAACAATTTTTATAAACTTTTTGATTCTTTAAATATATTCTAATTTCGATTGCATACATTTTATATTAAAATTATTCTCTTCGGTCCCTCAGTTGTGCTTGTGCCATTGTGATGTACTGCCGCACTAGTCTCGAAATTTCATGTGCCTGCTCCGTTTGAACTCGGATGACCCGTTGTTGCAGAAGATTTCCTACTTTCATGTCCAGGAACAGAGCTCCATCCTCCGATCGAACCTAAAGGATAAATGAAGGAAGTGAATTTAACTTTACTTGAACCAATGAAGAAATTTAGGTTGGTAATTTTTCTGCAACTCCTATATTTTACGGTTGTTGTACAAAAAGTGAAAAGATAAATATTAGAATGACCAAAAATTAACATGGACGACAGGTAGAAAAGATAAAATATTAATCTTTTTAGTTATTTGTTTGACTACTTGTTTATCTAGGTATTGGCAAATCAAAGTTAGCCCCCGTGGAGAATAGAGAACTATGAAAGTGATGATGATTTCAAAATTTAGTACGGTGAGATATAAGGTTATAATCTTAAAATGGTTTTTTATCTGGTTTCTGCTACGATGGTAGAAAAGTTGAAATCTTTAAACAACAAAAAATCAGATTAGACATTTTATTTATATTATACATATCAAGTAACCCTTGAGTTTTGTACCAACGCAGCAAAACCCAGATTTTTTTAAATAATTTGTTCGCAGAATTTATTTTTTTTTTTTCAAAATGCTCGTTCTTAGCAATGTTACAATGTTTTCATAAATCTGAACTTTTATTGAAGGGGAATTTTTTGACGTAGGACTACGTCTTTGATTTCTATATGGGGGTACACTTTGTGAAAACCGAAAATGGAATATGTAACAAATTAAGAAAGATTTTGAACGTTAATAACTCAGCTGCCCCTGGTCCAATTTCAATAATTTTATCACCAATCGATCAGAAATATGGCAACGCATCGATAACAAAGCTTCCGAATGTTGATTTTCAACAAGAAACTATTGAAAAACTGGTAAATGCCCAGCATTGTCCAAAAGCGTCGAATTAACTAACAAATCCACCAATTACCTACATGTATATGCTGCTTCCCCAGCACAGTGGTCAGAGAGTAGTAAATAGACGAAACAAGTCGAAGTGGCATTCGCCTCCGATCCTCGGGCGCGTGCGAATAGGGAGGATGGAATTGCGTAATATTTTGCACACTCATCGCCATATTTAGAACCAAACGCAAATTCTTCGAGATAACCACCATCCGTCGTCTGGCTCGCCGTGGCGGTGTCTGACGTATTTCCGGTCTGATTTACGAGGTGTGCTGAAGGTGTTCCTTAAAAATGAGATCCGTGATGCTGTCACCTACACTAAACACGCCAAGCGTAAGCGGCCATAGATGTCATCTACATTTTGAAGACGCACTCTGTTTGGTTTCGGAGGTTAAGTTATCATCAACTTTGGCAGCAAAACGGCTCTTTTCAGGGCCATCAAGCTTATTACAGTAAAGAGTAGGAATAGAATTCATCTGCCTGTTTGTCCATATTCAGAACCAACGACCACACAAAATGCTCATGTAATCAAACTGGACGCAGTGGTACAAATTATTTTGATCAACCTTGATTAACTTTGAATCGCCACGGCCGGATATTTTCGATGGAAGAAGCAACAATCTAGCATCTAATTCGACGAAGACGGCAGGAAACATTTGTAAAGGCGAGTTATTTACGAAAGAGAGTGTCGATGAAGAGAATCGATCAATGTAGATAGGACCTATTGAAAAGTGACGCGAGATTTGTTTTCCGTACTGAGCTCCAGTGCTACCGACGCCAGGGACCCTACCAATCGACCCATCAACTCAACCGGGGACCAACGGCTTTACTTCCCGAAGGAAGGCGTGATCAGAGATGTTATGCCTTAAAACTGCTGGGGTGAGAGGTAATAACCCTAACCACCGGCGCCGATATCTTTCAAGGTGATATCACGGCGAATGAGAACGACCCAAATTTGAGTTTAGTTATCTCAGATATAAGAAATAAAGTGCAGGAATTCAGCGATGAGTAAATTTGCCTCATGTTTTCCCAGGTTTTTTAACGATTTTCCATGGAAAAAATCCCGAATTTGAGAAAAGTAAAGATTGGATTCACTCAGTCTATTGGTACTACTCCGAGACTGAATAAAGTTTTCGTCAATTTCCTCATTTTCTGGCAGATTTTTTATGAAACCATGAGACAAATTTACTCATCGCTGAGTTCCTGCACTTTTGGTAATTATGAGTGAACTAAACTCAAATTTAGGTCGTTCTCATTCGCCGTGTATGCAAAAGGAAAAAAGCCAGTGATAGCAAACTACTCATAATGGGAGGAGTCTTTGTAGCTTTTATACCACTTGGTTGCACATCATTCTGCTTTAACCTGAAAAGATATAAAAGAGCGCTGCTGTGTGGAATTAGCTCATTTTCGCTTCGGACGGCGTGGTGAACAGCAATGCGCCAAGCGTCATCGCAAAGTTCTTCGAGATAACCGCCATCGGTCGTCTGGATCGCCGTGGTGGTGTCAAACGTATCTCCGATCTGATCTACGAGGTGTACTGAAGGTGTTCCTGGAAAATGAGGTCCGTGATGCTGTCACCTACACTAAACATGCCAAGCGTAAGTGGCCATGGATCTCTTCAATAAAACGGCCCTTTTCAGGGCCATCAAGCTTACATCAGTAAAGAGTTGGAATAGAATTTATCTGAGCTTGTTTGTCCAGAATCACAACCCCCAACGACTACACAAAATGCTCTCCAGAGTTGTAATCTTGTAACCAAATTTGGAATCAGGGGTGCAGTGCAAGTGATTTTGATTGATTCTCTTAATCTTAAATTTCTATTTGAAAAAGATTACTACAAATTTGGTACGCCTACAATTCAAAAACGGAAAGAGTTGAGATAATAGATAATTGATCAATTAAAAGAACGAAATGCTCTTCACATTTGTTCAGTCCACTAGCGGTCCTACGTTAAGCTTCCGTTCGTGCCCCTAGGCACAGACCCTTCTACTTTTTTTTCCTCTGTTTGGGACCTAACACTACTGCGACCAGTAAATTGATCTATTATAGTTTATCCCGTGTCCTTAGTTTAGTGCATGTCGTATTACTCCATCACTATTGAGAAATGATGAAGTATTCGATTTTTTTACAGTTGCCACTCTTGCATTTATCGCAAGGATCCGACTCTAATTGAAAGGTCCCGCTATTTATACCCTTCGGAGCGTTGAAACACCCTTCAAAGGCGCGCCCCTTTGTCAGTCAAAATTGGATTCCTTAGCAACAAAATTAAGGTATGACACCGATAATGACTATGCATCAGAACCCTAGTCTTAACCAATTCAAACTACACTGAAACAAGGACCATAGTTAGGAATACTATTTTGCAGAAAACACTTATTTTCAATATAACCACGCTTATTGCTGTTGAATCTACTATGAATTCAGTATAGTTGAATATGAATGTTAACAAATTTACTATGATTCTGGCAATACTACTATGCTTGCTTAAAATGCATAGTAATTTTGATAGAAATAATAGTAAAATTAAATGAAATTGTTTTCTGCAAAAATCTATTGGTGAGGGTATTTAATCTTAACCATCAATATAGTATTTTTGCCAATGGATTTTGTTTCAGTGTAGGGAACAACGAATAGAAGATTAGGAATCGCATAAATAGATGAAGGCAATTAACTCATTTTTTTCCTTGTTTCAAGATCATCTTCGGTAGACAAAGCCGAGTCTTGTCACTATCAAAAAGGCATAAAAAGTAACAAGGACTAAGATGTGTTCCTTGGATTACTGAAAAATCCTGTTTCCCTAGTTTGAAGTAGTCAGGACTAGGAATCGGTGGTAGATCTTACATCCCGTAACGTACCACGAAAAGGTGATCTACCCACGTTACGGGGCATTAAAGGGGGATAAGCGCCCATTACACATATCAATATATTGACAATAAATTGACATACTGACAATATTATTGAAAAGGTGATATTGAAGACGACGATTGATGACAAGTATTGTCGAAAAACTGATTTCAATTTCACTTTGTCAATACTCAGAATGTATTGACAAAAATCCGTCAATTTCGCCATCAATATCATCGATATACAAATATTGTCAACATTAATGGCAATACGTTAGAAGTCTTTTTTACCTTAATGTATTGAAGTCAATATTACTTGTCTCAATTTCCCCACACAAGAAACATGAATCAGCCAAAGAAAGTGTGTTTAGAGTTCATGTTTGCATTCGGGTCCATACAGAAACGATTGCTGAGCCTGTATGTATTGAAAATACTAGCTACACTCGAGCTACACACTGAATTCGGTAAATTTTCCCGGGTTTTTGAACAGCTGAAAAAAATTGGAAAAATTTCAAATGACCGTTACTCGAAGGAAATCAATAAAATCGACAAATTGGTTTTTTATCGTTCAAAAGGGGTTAACTTGGTCCGACCATTTTCGGTATAAATTTCCAATTTTTTTTTAATTTTTCACTGATTTTTAAACTTTTACCGAACAGTTCCGTAGTTCAAAAATTACCAAACAGCGGAGTCCTGGTTTAGTGGATATACAACCATAGAAACCAACTTTCACCCAACATTTTCTTATACTTACTCATTTCAAATTAATTTCAATTTTGTTTTTCAAATACCAAATTGGTATACCAAATGTTGTAACTTTTTGACAGGACACAGAAAATACACAGGACATGTACTTCCAAATTGATCGAATTTAATCAAATCGATTGTCGAGTGCGCGGAATTACTACACGTCTGGAATACCCCACGTTAACGGTACGCAGTTTCCCAAATAGAAACTACCATGCTGATGTTTTGGTAAACATTAATAAATGAAAATCATGCGTATAATAATTAATTTACGTTACATGTAGGTATGTGAAACGCTGATAGTATTTATTTTATTTTAAAGTAAAAAAATAACATGATTATGCTTGTGATTTTGTAGAAAATGTACATCCATATAAACGAAGCCTGGGTGATTGGTAACTGTAAAAAGATACATTTTTTATTCAGTTTGAAATCGATTGCATATCACACACGAAAATTTAAACAAATGGCAACACTGCATGCACGAAGGTGCTTTGTGAGTTAGTCGATCTAAATGACGTACGTTCTCCCTCCTCTCGGGTAGGGGAAGAATATTGACAAAGTGAAATGAAAATCAGTTGTTCAACAATACTCGTCATCAATCCATCGTCATCAATATTACCTCTTCAATAATATTGTCAGTATGTCAACTGTCAATATTTACTGTCAATATATTGAACCGTGTAACGAGCGCTTTAGCATATTGTCATTAATGTTGTCAATATTTATGTATTGATAATATTGTAAGGAAAATTGACAATACGATGTTTGTCAATATATTGACATGTGTAATGGGCGCTATAGTGCATCTATATTTTGAAGTAAGTTACGCAACGCTAGACCTCTCCCCGCTTTTGAGAGATGCAAATATGTATTTTTTTCGTTTTTTCTACAAGTATGACCAAATGCTATTTGTTGTCTAGCGAATTGGTTATCGGTGCTTTGAATAGTATCAGATAGATGATATATTGGAAGTAGGAGTGAATTAAAATGTTTCTACAATTTCTGGCAACGTTATTATCAATTCCGGGAGTTATGGAACCCGGATCTGGGAATCGTACATGACGTAACATCGGTTCCGGGGTTCTGGAATTCAGTTCCGTGAATTCCAAGATAGGGTTTATTACGTTCAAAGTATTATGGGACATGTCAAATCAAAAGCATGTCAAGTGATCAAATTGGCAACAAAATAGGTTTACATTAAATTATATGCTATCAAAATTATGAACAATAAAAAACAATCAAATTAGTTGTAATTGTTCGAGATTTTTCTTATGGTTCCGGTAATTAACCACTCCGCTTTTCTATTGTAAAAGTCTCATTAACAATAGATTCTATTATACATAACGAATAATTCTAATTTTTATTGTATTGACAATAGATTTTATTGCGTTGTAGCAACAGATTCTATTGTTTTTGAATGGTAAATTTTTATTCGGTTACTCACTGATTTTTTATATGTCCACCCGCCTAAATTTCATGCGCCTCTTTTAAGGAGCACCCACAATTGTCATAATGAAATCACAGACAAACAGACGTAACTCTTCATTGTGTATCTTCGTTAACGCATTTAACGGTTGATTTGAATATTATCAGTTCCGCGAACTACTCGCCGCAGCGCTGGCATTGGATCACTTTGACGTTTCTATACATTCTATAGAACTTTTATGCAATATTGCTTGAGAGTTAGCGAGCAAGCTTGTTTTCCGCGAGAAGCCTGAAAGATGTTGCTACTGAGGTCCTATGTTTTGAGATACTATGTTTTCAAGAAAAACTTTTTCAAAGAGTTACGTCTGTTTGTCTGTGATGAAATGTACACGGTAAGATGTCTTTGATCCGACTCTAATTGAAAGGTCTCATTTATAGCCTTCGGAGTGTTGAAACACCTTCCAAATACGCGCCCCTTTGTCAGCCAAAATAGATTCCTTAGCAATAAAATTAAGGAATGACACCGATAATGACCATGCATCAGTGTTAACCACTTCAAACTAGGGAACAACGAAAAGAAGATGAGGAATCACATAGATGAAGACTAACTAATTTTTTCGTTGTTTCAAGATCATCCTAGGTTCAAGCAACCCGAGGACTTATCACTATTAACAAGGCACGAAAAGTAACAAGGACTAAGATGTGTTCCTTTGATAACTGAAAAATCATATTCCCCTGATTGTGAGTATTTTTTTTCCTTGATTTTTTTCCGTCAATCTTGTTTTCCGTGCTGAACACCAATGCTACTGACTCCAGGAAGGCAGCTCCCACACCTGGACCCAACCTATCGACCCATCAACTCATGAACCGGTGACCAACGGCTTTACTTCCCGAAGGAAGGCGTGATCAGAGATGTTATGCCTCAGAACATCCAGACGATCCTCTGATTAAAACTAGAAATCCGCAGAAGAAGAGATGAGCGGAGTGAATGTTTTGAGCCAAATTAACTGTCAAAATCTGTGCCAATGGAATTTTTTTTTATAGGATTTCTTATTCTTACTAGATTATATTTGCGAGTATTCTAGTCAAATAGAAATTCAATCACCTTTATTTTTTGTTTGCTTCTAAAATTCAACTAGTTTTAAGAATCAAAAATAACATTCGAACTCTATTGATTAAATGATCATTGATGGTTATTATGTATATTTTTTTTTTACTTTATTGGAGAGACTTTCAACCTTGGGCTGGTTCGTTTGTTTGTTGGTTTATTAATGGCACCAAGAAATGTGTGTACATCGAACCGAAAAGAAAAGTTATGTGAAATGCTAGCTTCCAGCAAGGGCTGCAAGATAATTTACATATAAAACCCTGCTGCCGAATTGTATTTTGTTTTCACCGTTCTTCTCTCGCTCTGAGTATTTCTAATTTAAAGTAGGGTATGGGTAAAACTTGTCCGCAATAAGCTTGCAATAAAACTTAAAAATATATTAATTTATCACATATTGGCTTTTGAGCACTACAGTGAATCAAAACGCTACGATGTTTTATGTCTGACGTTATGTCTTTGAACATGACCATGTTCAGGGTATATAAAGTTGTACCGTCTGTCAGTGCTAAAATCTTAGGGTCTAAAGAAAATCCCAATCCTGACGATGATAGCACTTTTTCTTAAGACGAAAAAAAAAATTACTAATTGTTTTAGATATTCAAATTTTCTCGGAAGTCCAGACTGCAGACACCAACTTTCATCAAATCAAATTAAAAATACCTACTAGCGCGTGTGTGGCTAAACATTTCAAGTTGAAAGTTTACTTACATTAAGTCGAATATAAAAGCAAATATATTCATGAAATAATTCTTCCCTGTCTTCTTCTTCTTATTATTAATAATATGATTTAGCTTTATTTGCACGCTAAGATCAGTGTACAAAGAATGCGCTAAGTGATTACCCAGATTGAGCGGTGAAACCAAAATATGGATAATTTTTGTAACCCAAATGTGGGTAAATATGTTTCATATATGAGTTAGTTTTATGCAAATTTGACTTATATTTACCCATATTTGGGTTAAACAATTTATGCATATTTTAGTTTGTCCGCTTTACGTCCAATCTGGGTAAAAATCTGATCTTAACGTGTACGACATTTCAGCATTAGGCTGCCCTAATAAAATTTGTATGGTTATTTTGCTTAACGTTTGCGTGTTCAGGGTATCATCCAAACGATCTGTGGAATAGTTTTATGATTTGGGCTATCGTTCGGGTATGGTATTTTTTATTAGGGTGGCTCATCTCGGTACACTTACCTTTCTAGTAGAAATCACTTCATTGAATGGCCAGTGCTGCATCGTCTCATGCGTGTTGGGATCCAAAAATAGCACTCCGCGTCTGTTTAGTGCAAGTATCAGCTCCCTCCACATTGGGCTTACTTCTTCAGCAGGTGTTTCCTCAGACCAAACGCGCTTCACGGCAAAGAAACTGCTTCCGAACAATGGCCATGAAGACAATACGTTCAGGAATTGAGCTTTCACTTGTATGGGACTTAGACCGGCTATGGATGGCCAAGCAGACTGTACTAAAGCAACCCATTGGGCTGGACGAAGTTCTCGTAGCGAAAGAGCTGGTTTTGGCAACAGAAATTTAATTTCCTTCATTGCCGGTAAATGATTCAGGTCTGCTGCTCTGTGAAGTATCGCAGCGATTCTAGCCATATCGCGAACATAATCAGGAGTGGGAGCTCCGCCGTTTGGTAATTCCAAAAGTAGTCCTTCCAGGTAATCTGGTGCCACCTGATTGAATAGTACTTCTATGTATAGAGGGGTTGGGGCAGGGTCTCGTTTTAGGGGGAAATGCCACACTGAGCGACAGAAAATCAGATAGAATGGTTGACCTGATTTTAGCAACTCGGTTGTTACATCTAGTATATACTCGTCTGCAGCAAGAGGCATCGTGAACGCATCTCCTTGAACAATGCAGTACAATGAAAACTCTTGTTGCTCTGCTGGTATCTCTATTCCCAAAAGTGAGCATAGCTCCGTAATTACATCTCCAACTACTGTCGAGCATCGTGTGTTTACGATGCGCTCTGCTCCACCTGGTAACCGATAAATTTGTCTTCTCGCAGATCTGAAACAAATCAATCAAATTTAAAAGATATTCTAACTGGATAATGTATTAAAAATATGTATATACACTAGGGTGGGTCAAGTTTGTATGGTACATTACAGTCCTCTGTTTGCCACTGGCATTGCAAGTTATATTAAGGTGTCCCACAACTTTCCCATTCGTTATTTTTGTTTGTTTTACAAACTTTAAAATTCGCCAGCAATTCCAGATTGTAGCCAAATACGATCAGATTTGCCACAGTTGTTAGAGACCTCAATAAAAATTGAACGATTAGTTTTTTTTTCGCTTTTTCGGAACAGATTTTTTTCATTTTAATGAGGGAAACCACTCTTATAAGCAGGGATGGGTCACTCTTTTGGAACTTTTTCATTACTTTTTGATATATGATGCTAACGTTAAATCCAATTGAATTTTTAATTAACCCTTCTTAAAATAGATAGGCTAGTGCTATTAATCTCCCTATCAAAATATCCGCACCGCAGAGTCACACTTTGTGTTTTCACTGAAGGTGCACTTGAGAGCGCTCTCGAGTGCACCTTCAGTGAAAACACAGAATGTGGTTCTTTGCATTTTGATAGGGAGATACATAGCATTGAGCTATCTATTTTACGATGAGTTAACTGAAAATTCAACTGGAATTTACGTTAGCATTCTATAATAAAACATAAATAGAAAAACCCCAAAAGAGCGATCCATCACTGAATAATCGCTCCATTCTTTAAAAGAAAGTTTTTTTTTATCTTTATTTGAGAAATTTTTAGGTCAAAGAAAGTTGCACTCTACACTGAAAAAAGTTTTCACATAGTTTCTATTTTTCCAATAGCAAAATTAATGATTTGTTTCTGAATATCACATAACATCATAAATTCTATGTAAATAATCATATACACCCAACCGGTGGATGTAAGATTCGCTTACAATTATGTGGGATTCATCATCAGAGGATGTAAGTGGAGACCGCATGAACCGAGGATGCGATATACCTAGCTGCGGTCCAATGCAAGAAAATTGGAGACCGAAAAATGTAGAGTGTATTAGTGAGGTAAATTTGTAATGTCGAAAAAAAAAATAGGAAAAAGGTTGCCGACTGGACTCGAACCACGAACGTTGCGATTATCAGACCTGTGCTTTCTCCACTGCTCTCTCCATGCTTTTGAATAAGGATAGCCTAAAAGCAAACAAGAAGCGTTCCTTTCCTCTCACACTCGACTTCGTATGCTTTTTCTGCTGGAGAGATTCGCGGCAAGGGTGTGCGTCGTTCTACCATGTTATACATAAAAATCAAGGCAAATGCTTGCTTGTGTAGGTGAAAGCACAGACAGAACACGAAATAAAAAAGGCAAAAAACCTGTACGAAATAAAAAAGGCATCGCCTGTAAGGTCAACTTCTAACATTCGCTGCGATGTTCATGAACAGAGGATGATAGGAAATGGAACTAACATTCATTGTAATAGATTTTTGGTTTGCGTGTAGGAAATTGTCTCAGCTACAACTTTGCGAAAGACCACATTGTAGTTGAACGTTAGTATAATTAGTTATTAATTAATTAGCCAGTTGGTTTTCCCATGACATGCTCCATTAATTGCTCAGCAGGCAACATTGGTGTACTTGCTAACTTTGCTTCTACATGTCCAAATGTTGAAATTTTTAATATGTTGTTAAAATGACAATGTTAGAGCAATCTAAGTGAACATCAATAATTTTCCATACTAATTCACCGAAATCTCAATTCAAACTTCAAATCACCGCCAGATGAAAGGTGCCATGGTCCAATAGAATGATATTGAATATTTTTGGAATCGGTCAACTGGTTCCGGAGATATGACTGGAACATGTTCCGGTGAACACGGGTAGCCTTTTTTTTACTTTATTATAGTGACTTTCAGCCTATGGCTGGTTCGTCAATTTGAATACGGGTCGTGAGTCTATAATCGAATTGAATCGTGTTTAACCCATCATATCACATTACAATTCAGAAAGAAGACTAATGTTGGTCATATTGAGCGTGTAGGATTGAATTGTACACATCCGGACATGTTCCGTGTACCACAAGGGAAGTGGGCAGTTTCTGGCTTAAACCAAAATACCGATACCTCAAATCACAAAACATGTGCAATTGTGGTTATATCAACTGCCCGTGATCACATTGGACACACATGTTCAGGCTACCCCAGGGGGAAGTGGCCAGTTTCTGACTTGGACCAAAATCTATCATGCCACACTTCAAATCACATGAGAATCCAAAAACAAATGGACTGTTGGTTTTATCAGATGCCCAGCATCTCAGTAGGCATCATACCCAAGTAACATTGCAAGTTTTATCGAGGTTTTAAAGCATGCTACAAGTCTAAATAATGGTCTCCAGAACCCTCATAAAACCAAAATTGTTGCTTGGGTATTTTGGGTTCCGTTTGGTGGGTGTTTCAGCGATACATATTTTGTTTAATTATTGATTGTTGAACATCCCCGCAGAGACAATCGTTCATACAAATTATTGAAATTAATTTGATGGATCTTAGACACTTGACCATCTCCCTCTTCTCATAGTGTTTATGTTTACGATGCGATGAGTGAATACCCCTAGTGCTTATCCTGAATTTATGTGTATACATACCGTCCAGCTGATACGGCTGTGACCTCTTCAACGCTTGGTACATTTTTCCTTCCACCACAGCGTGCCGTTTTCCTAAGGTTGGTAAGACAGACAGCGGCCGTTCCGTGACAAGCTCGTCGACGATCTGATGCTGCAGATGTTAGGTGTTCTATCAAGTACGGACGAAGTGCATCGGAGCAACCGAAATATGCTGCTAGGATACTCAGTAGTCGCCATGCGCGTTGGGCCGATTCAGGACACGTTGAACGATTAGCTGTAGTTTGTTTTATAAGCTGACAGTAGACTTCATCCCTCAAGGTCAAATGTTTGTGGCAGTGCTATGAAAGTAATATTTTGAAATAAATATTGTTATATTTATACAGTTTCATCATACCATCAGGACAGTGTAGACGCACTTGACTTCGGTTAGCTCGGGATCGGGAATAAGGTCCCCACAATATCGAAGGATACAATCGAAACATTCAATCGCTAACGGAGCTAAGTCAGGTGGCAGGCGCAAGAGAGGTAATCGAAGTGGATTACCCTGCCATTTTACCATTTCCGCAAGAGGATTGCGTGTACTTCCTCGGTTATCATTTTTTTTGAATTCCTCGCCGCTGAAAATAGTTTCATAATAAGTGAGACAAGGATTTTGAATGTGAGACTGTGTAAGGTATACACACTTAGAAATAACTAATTTTACACGTGACGGAATCCGTCTTTGACATAAAACTTCATGAGACATAAACAAACATGTCATGTAATATTAATTGCTCCGAGACTGAAAAGTTCGTTGCTCGATGAAAAGTACTTTTGAATGAGCTATAGTTCGCGTCTGTTTTGACTTAAATTTACTCGTATATGTCACTCTCAGAGCACCTAAATTTACATGATTTTTTTCTAAGTATGTAATATATATCGCGTTAACAGACCTGCTGATATATATAGATATAGATATAGATATATATTTATATATATATTTACACATATTTATGTGTATATATATATATATATATGGAATACCTCAGAATTCCACGGAACTCGTTGTAAGTTGCTGTAAATTTGCTTAAGTAAATGGGATTATTCTGAAGCTATCTGAGCTGAGATTTTTGCTCTGCCCTTTGAAAATCAGGCTTGGATTTTATAGAATATACCTAACAAAATCCACAAGTGAAGGTAGATTTTTTTTAGCATGAACCGAAAGCAAAACCGAATTGAAATTCAAGATAGTACGTATATTTATAGAAATGTGTTTTGCCTGCTCTGTAATCTTGTGTTTTTGTATCACTGTTTAAAAGTAAGGTTTGGAAATTATAGAATGAACCTAATTAAGATAAGTTTTCAAGTATGATAAAAATGATTAGAAACATTTTCATTACCAATGGTTTTTCCTGAGTTTTTCCTCCACCGTGAATATACTGTCGGGGAACATTTTTCAGATTGTGTTTTTAATGGATTGCTGAGCTAATTTTCTTATCATTTAATTACATAACGTTTTATCTACAATGTTTGGTTCATGAGTTATGAATTTTCAAAGTTCGTGATGTTCGGGAAGATCCAAAAACTTAATCTAAAAATATTTGGAAAAATTAATCACCAACCACCAACCAAAAATAAACAGAACACTAATTGCACATAATTGCAATCGAATCTTACACCCCCCGGTTGGGTGTATTATCAAGGAATGTAAAAGGGTTAGCTTGCAGAATATTCGAAGCTTTAGAAATATTTTCTCAGGAATGTCTATGAAAAATGAACTTTTTCACAAATCTCATCGATGTTTCTTCAAAATCACCGTTTTCTGAGTTCATATATCTATCGTTCATATATATATTTGGATTTATTCCAGATAATTTCACATGGTGTGAAGCAATGTGGATGAACTGAGCTAATCAGAAACCATGAACTAATTAAATATTCATATCAGTCGTTGATTTTTGTCTAGATTCGCTATACAAACATGGAAGGGACATTGCATCGAATGTCTCATACGGATATTTTGTGGGTAGGACATGTTCTAACCTATCCCACCCACGTCTTGTACCTCTAATGACCAATATTGGTTACCCTACATAACGAGAATTTATTTAAAGATGCACAAATTTATTATGTTGTCAAAATAATCCGTTATTTGCGATTTAAGTTTTAAGCATCTAGAAAAGTTCTTGAATACTTACTCGTTTCTAAAATGTTGCATTGCAAACTGAAGAAGAGAATGCTTGGTGAGTGATGTTTGAGTTGGCGATGATTCTTCGTGCTGCATTATGTGCCCACCTTGTGCGTAGTTATTTCCCATGGAACTCACTGAAACTTTGTAATGTCCATGATGGCCATAATTATTTTGATTGTTTGGTGACGAGGGAATATCCTGTTGCTGTGGTTGCAGTCCATTTTCGAGGTGCATATTATCGTAATCGATGGTCGATGACCGGTGGGATTTTTCAGCCGGTGAGAGCTGATTTGGTGAGCTGGGACTGTTGTTCGATATTTCGAGGCGCTCCAGAGGAACGTTGAGAGTGGCTGCAGCTGCACGTACTCCAGATGATATTGTAGGTCCCTTAGTTTGAGTCTGGAAATATTAAAAGTGGAAACAGATATATTAGACACGTTTCAATTCACCGTTTGTTGCTATGATTAATATATAATAAGGTTTTTTTTATAGACACTTTATGTATTTTTCGGGTAATTCGTATGTTCTCCGGGAACGAGATTGGAACTCGTGACCTTCAACGTAAGAGGCATGCAGCTATCCTCTATGCTGGGCCCGTCCCCTAGTTATATTTAATGAAGAATATGCTTAAAAGGGGTAAAATAAAATTTATAAATAAATATATAAACTTGCATGTAAAATCTTCTTTTTTTGACTTATTACGTCCCACGCTGGCTCTCTAATTAGTATTCCTTGAACACTTCCACAGTTATTAATAGCGAGCTTTCTAAGCCTGTACCATATTGTGTTACAAGTATGTGCATTATCTATGCCTATCAACATCAGTACCTCCCACGCCAAAGTCATGATTTCAAATCTCACTTCCTGACTATTAAAATATGCTATGCAAGGAATGGAATGGGAATCGAACACAACCGCCTCCAGCATGGTCTTGCTTTATAGATTCAGCACGCTTTTTATAAGCATCGTTCATGTAAATAGACTTAACCCAAGTAACCAAAAGTTCTGATAAAAGGCTATTTATGGCTTAAGCAACTTGGTTGAAGGTGGTCTATAGAATTCTAAGCAGCCTTATTTTTAAGTCGTTATAAAAACTTGAAAGTTCCGGCACCATAATTGAAGAGCATTCTAAGCAGCCTCTGGCGGAACTTGAACGGAACTTTTAGAAAATAAATTAAAAAAGGTTTTTGTCCTCTACACCAATTCTATATTTAGTTCGCACTTTTATGAAAGTTATTTCTAAAGACAGGTATTAATGTGTATTGATTTATCAGCATTAGTAGTAGGAATGGAACTGTTTGAATAATTAAATCCAGTCCTTCTGCGTGAAAGTCTCAGCACGAACCACTACGTCATCTGAAATATATTAAAGTGAGCTGTTGTCCCGCCTATAGTTGGAGTTTTCTGAGCCAGCTGACTGACTTGAATATGAAACACAGCACCTTGATGAATTTAAATTGGTGTTTGCCCGCATGGTATTCCATCACACTTGTGGCGCAGTGGTTAGCAATCGTAGATCACATGCCGAATGCATGGGTTCGAATCCAGGAAATAAGTTTTTGATTTTTTTTTGATAGAATGTTGCATAATTATAAGATATATGATTTGTTCGGGCCACTGATTATTTCATATTTACGTACATTAAATTTTGTTACAAAAAAAGATTTGTGTGGATTGCTTCATGTGCCGGCGCCGGTGGTGTAGAGGTAAGCGTGACTGCTTTCTAACACCCCAATGGGTCTGGGTTCAATCCCAGTCGAGGTCGGTGGGATTTTTCTGAGGCATAAAAATCTCTGGTCACGTCTTCCTTCGGAAGGGAAGTAAAGCCGTTGGTCCCGGCCCATGTGTGTTGAATGGGTGCGATATCCTACGCAGGTGTGGAAGCTAGACCGACGTTAAAGGAAAAGAAGAAGATTGCTTCATGTGGCTTGAAAGTTCTGTCGGAAATTTATTTGAACTTTATGGAACTTGACAGTTCTATCGGAACTTTATTTGAACTTTATGAAACTTGAAAGTTCTGTTGGAACTTTATTTGAACTTTATGGAACTTGAAAGTTCTGTCGGAACTTTATTTGAACTTTATGGAACTTGAAAGTTCTGTCGGAACTTTATTTGAACTTTATGGAACTTGAAAGTTCTGTCAGAACTTTATTCGAACTTTATGGAACTTGAATGTTCTGTCGGAACTTTATTTGAACTTTATGGAACTTGGAAGTGTTGAATGCGGAACTTTTGGTTACTTGGGAATTTCTTTACTAAGATAGTTCTTGAATATTTATCAGTGGAATAAACATCGGATTCACGAATAAAATATTAATTTCAGTGAACTGCGACTAAATTTACCTCACGAAGTTCTCGGTTCACTGCCCAGACCTGATACAGTGACCTAGAACCAACCGCCTTTTACAAAAAAAAGTATAAAACTAAATGGAATGCTCTTATAAATCAATAATAAAACTCAAATAAAGCTGTAAGGCATGGAGGGGGTTACATGGGGCCAAACCCATGTAATCAGTCACCAGTGCCTGAAATGCATTTATTTACTCTGATATACAGTTGGAGATCAATCAACCTTTCTGGCTGCATAAACTGGCGCTGGCGGCGCGCAATCCAGTGGTAAAGGGCAGCTCGGTGGCCTGGACGAGCTCGGTTACCCGCTACTGAAAAAAATAACATCGGAAGGCAAGACTACACTACTCCGCCTTCTCAACTCCATCCCAGACGACTGGAGTCCAGGCTTGGATAGTGAACAAGTCTCGTCACAGTTCACTAAAATTAATATTTTATTCATGAATCCAATGTTTATTCGATTGATAAATGTTCAATGTTGGTGTATTGTACCTAAGAAGTAAAGCGTCAGCTGATCCTGGGAGAAGTTTCGGATAGAGGTACATAGCAAAATAAAATCAAAGCTTGCTCTCATATCTTTTTGAGCTATTGGTTTGTTGTTCAATAAATTAAATCAATAACATAGTAAGAACTCATTCTGTTATCATAGTATAACTTAATATTTCTGTTATTTTTAAGTAGTTATTATAGTTTCAAAATATCATAATACACCGAACTCTTTAAACCGTTAAAAACGCGTAGAAAAAACCTAGGAAAAAAACAATGTAAAAACACCGTATAAAAAAGTAGAAGGGTCTGTACCTAGGGGCACGAACGGAAGCTTGACTTAGGACCGCTAGTGGACGGAATAAATGTGAAGAGCATTTAGTTCTTTTAATTGAGCAATTATCTATTATCTCAGCTCTTTCCGTTTTTAAATTGTAGGCGTACCAAATTTGTGGTAATATTTTTCAAAGAGAAAGTTGATTAAGAGAATCAATCAAAATCACTTGCAGCCCTGCTTCCAAGTTTGGTTACAAGATTACAACTCTAGAGAGCATTTTGTGCGGTCGTTGGGGGCTTTTGTGGTTCTGAATATGGACAAACAGGCACAGATAAATTCTATTCCAACTCTTTACTGATATAAGCTTGATGGCCCTGAATAGAGCCGTTTTATTGTACAGGACATCATGGCCACTTACGATTGGCGTTTTCAGTGTAGGTGACAGCACCACGGACCTCATTTTCCAGGAACACCTTCAGCACACCTCATAGATCAGACCGGAGATACGTTGACACCGCCACGGCGAGCCAGACGACGGATGGTGGTTATCTTGAAGAACTTTGCGATGACGCTTGGCACCTCCTTTACCAGACCTTTTCCTCCTTTGCCACGACCTTTTCCTCCTTTGCCACCTTCCTACTGCTGCTATTGCTGCTCACCGCTCCGAAGCGAAAATGAGCTAATGCCATACAGCAGGGCTCTTTTATATCTTTTCAGGTTAAAGCAGAATTATGTGCAACCAAGTGATATAAAAGCTACAAAGACTCCTCCCATTATGAGTAGTTTGCTATCAAGTAGCGACACTGGCTCTTTTCCTGCGTACACGGTGAATGAGAACGACCCAAATTTGAGTTTAGTTCACTCATAATCGCCAAAAGTGCAGGAACTCAGCAATGAGTAAATTTGTCTCATGGTTTCCTGTGGAAAACCTAAAAAATCTGCCAGAAAATGAGGAAATTGACGAAAATTTTATTCAGTCTCGGAGTAGTACCAATGGACTGAGTGAATCCAATCTTTATTTTTCTCAAATTCGGGAATTTTTCCCTGGAAAATCCTGGAAAAATCTGGGAAAACATTAGGCAAATTTACTCATCGCTGAGTTCCTACACTTTATTTCTTATTTCTGAGATAACTAAACTCAAATTTGGGTCGTTCTCATTCGCCGTGATATCACCTTGAAAGATATCGGCGTCGGTGGTTAGCGTGATTACCTCTCACCCCAGCAGGCCTGGGTCCAATCTCAGTCGGCGCCACCGGCATGTTCTAAGGCATAATATCTCTGATCACGCCTTCCTTCGGGAAGTAAATCCGTTGGTCCCCGGTTGAGTTGATGGGTCGATTGTTAGGGTCCAGGTGTGGGAGCTGCCTCCCCGGCTCCGATAGCATTGGAGCTCAGTACGGAAAACAAATCTCGCGTCACTTTTCAATAGATCCTCTTCGATTCTCTTCATCGACACTCTCTTTCGTAAATAACTCGGCTTCACAAACGTTTCCTGCCGTTTTCGTCGAATTAGATGCTGGATTGTTGCTTCTTCCTTCGAAAATATCCGGCCGTGGCGATTCAAAGTTGATCAAGGTTGATCAAAATAATTTGTACCCCTGCTTCCAGTTTGATTACATGAGCATTTTGTGTGATCGTTGGTTCTGAATATGGACAAACAGGCAGATGAATTCTATTCCTACTCTTTACTGTAATAAGCTTGGTGGCCCTGAAAAGAGCCGTTTTGTTGCCAAAGTTGGTGATGATTTAACCTCCGAAACCAAACAGAGTGCACCACGGATCTCATTTTTCAGGAACACCTCGTAAATCAGACCGGAGATACGTCAGACACCGCCACGGCGAGCCAGACGACGGATGGTGGTTATCTCGAAGAATTTGCGTTTGGTTCTGAATATGGCGATGAGTGTGCAAAATATTACGCAATTCCATCCTCCCTATTCGCACGCGCCCGAGGATCGGAGGCGAATGCCACTTTGACTTGTTTCGTCTACTTACTACTCTCTGACGACTGTGCTGGGGAAGCAGCATATGCATGTAGGTAATTGGTGGATTTGTTAGTTAATTCGACGCTTTTGGACAATGCTGGACATTTACTACTTTTTCAATAGTTTCTTGTTGAAAATCAACATTCAGAAGCATTGTTATCGATGCGTAGCCATATTTCTGATTTATTGGTGATAAAATTATTGAAATTGGACCAGGGGCAGCTGAGTTATAGATTTATAGATTCACTTAAATTTGACAAATGGATAATTTTCAAGTAAACCTGCTGCTCCACCAGGCTTA